AGAAAAACCTGCACCGAGAAACACTCATCAGGTAGGAAATGTCAAATTAAACGTGCTTCATACAACCAGAATTGATATCCTTATACCTAAGCATGGTGATATCATCCTTAATCACTGAACACGAATTTCCCAAGCACTGTTTCTGTGCTGCCTTTTTAAAGCTTTCAGATCCTTGATATATGGCACTACGCAGCTACAGAAAAACTGTCATCGCCATCAGGCCAGCACCAATGTCCTTCCAAAATCTGGTCTAGGGCAAGCCAGCTCTAATAGCTCCAAGACCATCTCCTTTGGGCAACAAAAAATCCTGCACCAATTCCTAACACACCACCAGCACTCAGGAATACTGTAGCACAAGGCCATTTTATTGCTGTGATTGCTTACCCTCAAGGCCACGGTCAGAGCAAGGCCAGGTGCCAGGTGAGAAAGGTGGGAGGCAATTCCCAGGAGCAGGCTTAAAGAACAGTCCTTGCTGTCTCCAGGGTCTGGCTAACAGCAGCACTACTGAGTTCATGAGAATGGGCAGGTGTTCAGAGCATTAATGTGGGAGTCCTGACAAATTATATCATGTTCTAAAAACATCTGGGGGTTCGGAGGAGAAGAAAGAAAGGAAGAGAAGGAGGAAGGTAAGTAAGGGAAGGAAGGAAAGAAAAAAAGAGGTGGTGCTAATGAAAGAGAGCAGGTTGATACTTCAGCACCAGGACAAAGAGAGCAGGAATTGCCCTGACAAAGATCAGTCTGAAAACACACCCTCATGTTAGCCTGGAGTTGTCTGTGAGGCCATCAGTGAGCTTTTTATTCAACATCTAGCACGCTGTTCCTTGATCTGCAAGGAACCTGCAAAGCTGCAGCGAGCCAAATAATCACCCAAATAATTTTATTCATTTCTTTCCTCCTGCCCCCACCCCAGCCCACCAGAACACTAGAAACACAGATCTGACCCACAAATTTCTCTGTACATGCACAACTCCATGGAGTGGGCTAACAAGAACCTCATGCGGATTCACAAATTACACCTTGCTGTGCTTGCAGGACTGAGACGTAAATTTCTTTCCTTAGCAGTGTGGTCATTTGCACATGCACTGATTTATTTTTTCTTCTTCTAATGAAACAAACAGGAAGGATCATCTTGAGTGCCATTATGCAGCACACACAGGACAACCAGGTGATCAGGCCCAGTCAGCATAGGATGATGAAAGACAGGTACTGCTTGACAAACCTGATCTCCTTCTATGACAAGATGACCCGCTTAGCGGATGAGGGGAAAGCTGTGGATGCTGTCTACCTAGACTTTAGTAAAGCCTTTGACACTGTTTCCCACAACATTCTCCTAGAGAAACTGGCTGCTCATGGCTTGGATGGGCAAACACTTTGCTGGGTAAAAAACTGTCTGGATGGCCAGGCCCCAAGAGTTGGGAATGGAGTTAAATCCAGTTGGTGGCCAGTCACCAGTGGTGTTCCCCAGGGCTCGGTACTGGGGCCTGTTCTCTTCAATATCTTTATCGATGACCTGGACAAGGGGCTTGAGTGCATCCTCAGCAGTTTGCAGACGACACCAAGTTGGGTGGGGGTGTTGATCTGCTTGAGGGTGGGAAGGCTTTAAGAGGGATCTGGACAAGCTGGATCAATGGGCCAAGGCCAGTAGTGTGAGGTTCAAGAAGGCCAAGTGCAGGGTCCTGTACCTGGGCCACAACAACCCCATGCAATGCTACAGGCCTGGGGAGAAGTGGCTGGAAAGCTGCCTGGCAGAAAAAGAGTGGGGGCATTGGTTGACAGCCGGCTGAATATGAGCCAGCAGTGTGCTCAGGTGGCCAAGAAGGCCAATAGCATCCTGGCCTGCATCAGGAATAGCGTTGCCAGCAGGACTAGGGAAGTGATTGTCCTTCTGTACTCAGCACTGGTAAGGCCGCACCTCAAGTACTGTGTTCAGTTTTGGGCCCCACTGAGGTACTGGAGCATGTCCAGAGAAGTGCAACAAAACTGGTGAGGGGTCTAGAGCACAGGTCTTATGAGGAGCAGCTGAGGGAACTGGGGTTGTTTAGCCTGGAGAAAAAGAGGCTTTGGGGAGATCTTAATCACTCTCTCCAACTACTTGAAAGGAGCTCGTAGCAAGGTGGAGGTCACTTACTTCTCCCAAGGAGGGACAAGGGGAAATAGCCTCAAGTTGTGGCAGGGGAGGTTTAGGATGGATATTAGGAAAAAAATATTCACAAAAAGGATTATCAAACACTGGAACAGGCTGCCCAAGGAAGTGGTTGAATCACCATCCCTGGAGGCATTTAAAAGATGGGCAGATGTGGTGCTTAGGGACATGGTTTAGTAGTGGTTTTGGCAGTGTTAGGTTAATGGTTGGATTCAACGATCTTAAAGGTTCCTTCCAACCTAGATGATTCTATGATTTTAATTCTGAGATTCAATCTAAAACAATGTCTTAAGAAAGCAAAATACCTTTGCAGGCTAGGATTGAAAACTACTACAAGGTTCCATGGAAAAACATGATTTTTTTTGTTTGCTGATGCAAATCCAGCAGAATCAAAGAGAATACTGCTGCCTCTCCTGGTCCTAGAACACATCTAAGATTTTGATTTCTAAGTGAATGCTTGAAAAAAAGTAAAATCAGAACTTGCTTCTTCACATCATTTTAACATAAATGTATTTAGTCATTAAAACTTCTGTTACTAGCCCCCTGAAAGTGCATTCCTAGAACTAATTGGTTAGGCCATGAAAACAATTATGCTATTCGTAAGCCCAGATGAAAATCTGTAGATTATTACTAGGTTTCCTCTCATTTTTATGACTCCTCTCCTCAAACAAATCAATCACATAAAGCTAAACTCAACATGGCGAGTTAAGCTCTCAATAGAGACTGTGGAGATTGCAAACATAAGTCAAATAGGAAGAAAGAAAGCTGAGATAATGGATGGTTTATACCATTTTAATTCAAAGCCCTGAGAGATGGCTCAAAGCATTAAGGTAATATACAATGAGCTCTGATTCCAGAAGAAATAATAGAAGCCTCTCTTACCAAACATGCAACCGTAAGTAAAAAACCCACAACTTCTATAACTACTCCTCCAGCTGCACAGAATTTCTGTTATATTGAGAATCTTCTAAGGATTTGCATCAAAATTACCAACTTTAAAACTCGCCTTAAAGTAGCAAGCCTGTGATTCTCCTGATAACTGTCAGTATCAGGAGATTTGGTCAACAGTCTTCCACAAAGATAACTACCTTCTCAGCAAAGGGCACATGGAATTACTCACACTGCGCACTGTTAATGGGAGTCACACATAATAGGAGATGCAAACCACTGCATTTTCAGAAATAATCAGAAGAAATTTCCTCAAGTTCTTTTTATTGTCTGGGATAAGTAAGAATACTTTTCTTTTTCATCCAGATACTGTTTTAGCATAAAATGCGGTGCTATCCACACATTCAGGTATTCAGGAAAAATTGTAAACACTGGTCATAAATCCAAAGGTGGGATTTTGGGTTCAGAACTATGTTTTTTGGTTCAGAACTATGTTTTTTGGTTCAGGCAAGTGCAATACTATTACTGTACAAACACTTTACCTCCTTCTCAAAAATGATCATCTCTTACTTAGATCACAATTAAAAACGATGAATTATTTGATTCTCTGCCTGTGCATCCTGCAAGTAACCAGTTTCAGCACGATTCACAAAACTTGACCAGAGGAGACTCAGGACTGGAATAAGAAAATGCTGGAGGTCAAAAATTGAACTTATGAGTAAAAGACATGGGAAAGCTTAACTAGTGCATACGTGAAGGTGCATTGCTTAGTTTTATATACATCAGCAACAGAGTATAACTCTGATGCCTCATCAGTGTCTAATTAACTGTTCCTATTTCTTAATATTGTCCTCTTTCCTTTGTGAAAAGACCCAAACAACAGGCCACACAAAAACAACAAAACTATCTCTGCAATGTTCTGGTGAATTGCATAAATAAACAAACTGGGGAAAAAAACAACTCAGAGTAAATTTATATGGTACTTGTAGCCGTATATCACATCTCCAACTTAAATTTGATCTTCCTGTTGCTTGTACACATTTGAAAGAAAAGAATATAGGTTACAAAGTTAGGGTCCTACAAAGTTACAATCAATTATAAAATGCATGTGTCACATTTCATAGCTTCTGAATAGGAAGTATCCAAGTATCACAGTAAATGTCTTCAGGGCACTAAGGCCTCGGTTTTGAGGGTCTTTTAGCACCAGATGTCCTACTGTCTGAAGACTCCTGCTACACAAACCATTAAATTGCTGGAAACGTGGCATGGTAAAAGATACTGAAAAACAAGTGACCTGATGCTTCTTGTCAGGCAGAAGATGTAATTCAAATGTTTGTTGTAAATCATTGCTATCTCCATATACAACAGGACAGTAAAAATAATGCAGAGTCACACATCTCACAAAAATCCACACCCAGTGTTTTTTGAAGCCTGCAGTTATCTCCTCAGGCTATAGCATAGCACTGTTCATGAGAAACAGGTGAGCTTGGAGAATTATGGACTAGAACTAGTTAGAAGTTTACAACCGACACTGGCAGTGACTAGGAAAAGCATTGCAACTAAGCGTGATTTTTTCAAACAAAATTGTCCCTTCTCCAGAGAAAATAACGAGTTTTGAAGAAAATTTGCTAGTCCAAGACTCCCAAAATTTTCATTACCACCATCTTTTTCTGCATGAAAAAAAAAAAGCTTCCTTAGGTTTATGACCAGATCCAACGAAGACAATGAGAGACTTTCTTTACTGAGCTTTCAACTGGATGTGGCAATCCAGAAAGCTGAGCAGAAGACCATCACCTCAGACAGCATGCTCAGAGCAATCAGAGTAATAATCACTGAAATATCTTCAGAATGGTAGATAATTGTATTATTATTAAACATAATAAATGTATATAAAAAAATCAGGCACAAAGGCAAGCATGTCACTAACATTAACTGCAGGTTTACTTCTTAAATGTTTCAGATATCCTACCTCGTTATTGACTTCGGCAGTTTTTTTCTTTGTTTCTCCAATGTCCAAATAGCTGTGAAAGGAAAACATTTTTGATTATTTACAGAAGCATCTAACTTAATAATACAAATATTTCTACACTTCTTTCATACATGAATCTTTTAAAATTTATCATGCCTCAAAATAACATAAAAAGTAACTAATTCAATGTTTTACTGAAGGAGTGTTAATATAAATCTGCAGACTAGGCCTCTGGGTTAATACAAAAGGCAGGGCAAAACCAACCATCTACCTTCCAGTCATTGGTGATGAGAACAGACCAATATAACCCCCTTGTCAGAAAGAAGCTCACATACTACTGTGAGGTGGATCAATAAACCTCAGCACAGTATCAACTTACCAGAGTTTTCAAAGTCATCACCTTGCCTCTCAGTTTCTCACAGTAAGTCTCTAACAGATTTAAAGCTTTCCTCCATAGCCAAGTTTAACCCAGGGCATCAGCTAAAGTTTAAAAGGATCTACACCACTTCTATTTCAACAGGACATGGACATATCTGAACACTGTATATCCTGGTTTCTTGCAATTGTGATGAACCAATAGCATCCTCACAACTATTTTACAAATAGACAAAACACAAACCTCAACTGGACAAGAAAACAAAATACATCTATTTGAACAACACTCCAACAGAGTACATATTCCCACAAAAACATTGCATTAACACAAAAGTGTTAGTTAAAACACACAGTGATGGATTAGCTGTACGTTGCCGTTCCAAAAAAAAAAAAAAGGGAATTAAATAAGGCTTCAGACATGAGTAGACTGGCAAACAAGCAACTGCCCAGGTACCCAGACCCTGCTAACTCCTTTCCCTTGTCAGCACTCTGAGAGCCATGAGAGTGGTTCTTCTCATGAATGCAGCCCTCAGTAGCTGCCACTACTGCAAGATTTTTCTAGTTCTCAGTGCTGTAGGAAGAGATGTCTTCGTGGGCAGTTGTACCTCAGTACAGCAGCACCTTTCAGCACCTTCTACCAGGAGCTAAACATGAGAACAAAAACAGCTGGGGCATCTATTCTATGCCAGGAGCATCAAATCATCAAATTATATGGTGGGCATTTGTTACAGGTTCTCCCTATTCCCACTTTCAGTGGGAAACCACAGGTGCTTTGCCAGGCTTTTAAATCTAGAACACCCTATCTGAGAATGTCAGGTATACCTGATGGCAAGCATCAGTGCAGGCTCACCAAAAGACCTCAGAGCTCACAATGCATCTGCAGCCCTCCAGTAATGTCATGCTCTGTAGTTAATGACTGGGATAAGATTTGTTTGCCAAAGGAAACTTTCCAGCCTGGCCAAAGTTGAGAATTCATGGGACCTGAATGAAGGTATAGATGCAACAAAGAAATAAGGAAAAAAAAAAAAAAGAGAGAGAGAGAAAAAAAAGCATTGTTCATTCTTTGAAGGAATGGCAATCATTTATCAAGATACCACAGAAAGGTCACAAGGATTTCAAGGTTTCAGTGCACGGGGGCAGTAAAACACAGTAAGGCTTCCAGTCAATGCTTGAAACTACATGCCACTGCTTTGGAGAAGGTAAATGTAGCAATGTAGGACAATGTTTAAAAACAAAGCATCCAAGCCTCATGTTTAAAAACAAATAAAAACAACTGTTGCAAACTTCTCCTTGTAAAAAGGAATGAGCTCTCTTGAGACCAAAAAACCAAAGCCTACAAGACTGAAAAGAAATAAATGCTTCAAACAAAATAGTTCCAACAGCCTATAACAAGAGCTGCTGACTGTGGTCCTTGTTTTCTGGGCATCTGTGAATTACTCTACGGAGAACTCAGAAAAGTGACAAAGAAAAGCAAATAATAGTCAAAAGCCTAAATTCACTATGCAGAGGTCAGGGCATTCAGTTCTCAAATTTCAGGCATCTATAAATCTGAAAAGGTCTAAAGAGGGCCAAAGGCTTTTCTTGGGGTAATGGCACTCAAAAAAATCCCAGACCAAAAACTTCACAGAGGTATTCCCGCTTGCTAAGAAAGTGGAAATACTTCTACTGGATGACTACCCAAGCCAGTGATGAAACTACAGTGCTGTTTAAAGAGACACTGCTGCAGAGAGGACAATCTACCATTAATTAATGTTCACAAACACAAGTAAATAGGCAAAGGAAGGAAGAAGGTAGAGTAGTATGCTGAAAAAAAGCTAAAAATTGAAGCCAGCTTCAGCGTAGATAGTTTTCTTTCAGGAATCTGACAGTCACAGAAGAACTCCACAGAGATGCTGGCCTGAAAGTGCATTCTCACTCACCACTGCAACAGCTACAATATACCAACACACCTCACTGCATATACACCAAAAAATCTTCACTTAGCACACCTGTAAATGACAAAACAAGCTGGGAAACTTGTCATATATTATGAAAATTCCCAACATTGCCTAATAATTCTATATTTTTCTAAAAGCAGAATTTTTAAATGCTGATTATTTTTATTTACAAAATGAAACATATCAGCAGTTTATATCGACTATATACCTTAGCATCTATCTCAAGATGTTAAGATTCAGGGCTTGGCATGACAGAGGTTCATGTGCTAAAGGTAAGCGCAGTTTAGTCTAGAATTCACTGCGGACAGCAAAGGAAAAGATTCAGTTCTCAGTATAAGGCATCTGAGAAGAAACAAATGAAGTGCTTGAAGTGGAGCAATGACACTTTTCAGCTTCTACTTCTCCTTGGATACTCTCTCCTTTCCATTATGTTCCCACACATCAGTGCCACAAGGGTCTATTTCAAAGTTCATTCCTGCATCATCAGCCCCAGCAATGAATGTGTCCAACTAGCATTACTGCAAAAAAAACTGTAAAAAATGTAAAAACTTCATGCTGCTATCAGACCACACTCAGATCCTTTAGGGCAGATGCTTTGGTCTCCCACAGCTGCAACTGCTTTATCTTTGCCTGTGACACATATACAAACATACTCTTTTTTGTAATTTCTTCAATTCTTTTCAGAAAACTATGCCTTTCAATTAACCCCTCCTCTCCTCTGACTTTTCTGGCTAAGATGCCTCCCTAATTATCATTCTGTCTACAACCCAGTTAAGAGCAAGATCAGCATTAAGCCCTTCAGCCTGTCTTAATGCTTGTAAAAGCACTCCCAACATTTACAGCACTATATAAATAAACACTAATAGTGAAGAACTCCAACTCTGAATGCAGACATGGAAAAGATCTCAAGTCATCCCATTCATCCTCCCTATGGCACAGGACTACAGCATACTATCAAGAGATATATGAAACAGCCTGCTTTTACCAAGTCCTTTAGGTTAGTTTTTCTTAATGTGTTCTCTTAGATATCTTGTTGCATTTTGCAGCCACAAAAGTCTGAAAAGGTCTCACCATAAAACTCTGACCACATGAAATGAAAAAAAAAATATGCTTTTTTCCACCCAAAATAAATCCAGAGTGCCCAACTCTCTACTCAGTGCATGCTAATGCCGAACACTTGCTTACTTCTAGCCTGTCTGTCGAACATAAAACACATTCAGGGAGGTGAAACATGATGTGCTGACAACTAACAACTTTAAGCCGTCCACAGAATCGCAGGATTTAATACCGAAAAGATGCAGTAGATCTTTCTTGAGAGTTGAGCACTGCATTTGACATGGAAAAGAGTACAGAGGAAAAGGGGCTTATATTTAGCCTGTCATACATCTTTCTCTCTAGCTTTGCCACTGAAGCGCAAGAAACTTCAATAAATCTTCAGAGCAGCCAGTGACAAAAACAGTAAGAGTGCTGATAGAGATCCTATTCTTCACACAGAGAGTTGTGTCCTGAAACATAATGAGCTCTCCTGAAAAATGTAGTATCCTCAACTCTACAAAATCAAGATACACGAGGTTCTGTAAAGCTGGTAGTTTAGCATATACATTCTCAACGACCTCCAGAAAGGGATTGTTAATTTTAAGATTTTTTTTTAATTAATCTGTAGCAAAAATGCTCACAAAGTCTGAACAAAACATACAATTAGGCAATTGAGACGAAATTCACTGCCAGAATTAAGAACCACTACTGATCGCATGCAGAGCCACTTGGGAAACACATCTAAAAGCCCAGATCTCCTCCACGATACTCTTCCAGTCATTCCCTAGAAAACAGAGAAACTGTCAGCTTAATTCTTAGAGTCCAGGCAGGGAAAAGAAAACAAACAGTCATCTTTTAAATAACAGGAGGGACTTAGCTATTCTGGTCATAGCTATATACCTACCCAAAATTAACAGAAGTGATGGAGAGGTGGACAGCTAGGTAGAATATTTGAGACTTTTTAAAAATAAGCAAGAAAAGAAGTGTTGGGGATTAAATTCCAAGGCTCACCAACTTCACAGCAGGATTGCCAATACTCTACATTTCTACAGCTTTCTCCCTGTTACCACTGGATACTGACAATTGCCCCTCAGTTAAGCATACACATCACAACAACATGCCATTGCTGCATGTCCTTTGGGTTAAAGGGCTGCTTCTCCTGCTGTCATGTCAGGGAGATGGCACTATGTGACTGATGGTAACAGCAGCCTTTCTGTGGCTCTAAAGCTCTTTTGCAGTTTTATCTGTGAGAAGTACCTTTCTGTTTGCCTTTAAGTCCTCTTTCCTCAATGCCTAACAAAGGAGGTGGAGTGGGGGTCCTCTGAAGTATTGCCACAGTGCCAAACCCCAAATGCTGATATTCAAGTTCCATATAAATCTTATGTTACATTTTAGCCACTCACTTGAGTTTCTTGAAGGCTTCCCTGCCACCAGCCACATACTGCTCTCCACTCTGAAGCTCCTCCAGCTGCCGGACACGATGCCCACCCCGGGGGGTATAGATGTTACGCACAGCTCCAAAGGGTGCCTTCACCCCGCCTGTCACCTCTTTCAGAAACACTTCGAAGTTGGACACTTTCTTCTCATTGACGACAATACGGCGCCCCGGGAAGAACGGGTCCCCGTTGCGATACACCAGCACGCTCTTCACCATCGGCTGCGAGAGCCACGACCCCTTCGTGCCAGCGCTAGTCATGCTCGGTGGCTTCGGACGTCCTGTGAAGCCCAAGCCACCCCGACGCGTTGCCTGCCCCTGTTCAAGGGTTCCTGCCAGCGCAACCCTCTCTCCTCCGCCCTGACGACTCCCTGCCAGGGGCGAAGCGCCCAGACACCCCCACGCCGGCCCTTGGGCACCAGGGCCCACCTCCAGGGAGGCAGAGGAGGGAGCCCGGCGCCGCGGGGAGGGATTACAACCTCCCCGGGTCTTGCGGCACAGCGCTGCCCGGCCCTTCGAGAGCGGCTCCTCCTAGGCAACCCGCTCTTGCTGCTCCGTGGCGCCTGGGGAGGCTATCACGGATCACACTAACCCAGGCAAAAAAAAACCCCAAAAAACTAATGTTATTTGGAAGTAGATCCGACACAGCAGGAGAAGGGACTGCAGGGGACCCGTGGCCTCCCAAGGCCTTTATCCGCTCTGCCTTTGCCATGACGGAAGGCGGCTTGCAGCCACCACCCTGGTTTCCTCCGGG